AGGAGAAACCTGATCTCCTCGCCAAGGACCAATTAAAAGAATGGGTTTCTGAGGCTGATGAATAAGGCAGGGTGACAAAGAAAGAAAAAGGTACTGGAGGGAAAGGTTGCAATTGTTGTAATCATGAAAATCACGGTTGAGCTAATAAATATGGAGCAACTGTTTGTTTTTGAATTTCGCGCAAAGCTACATGAGGGCTATCTGCGCTAGCTGTCTCTAAAGCGAAGTTAAGAAACACTTTTAACAGAAACTAGAAGTGAAAATAAATTAACACTTCGTGACAATACTAAAGACAAATGTGAAACTTTAAACAAACAAAACAGAACCTGTCTGAGCATAAGCACTGCCAAACAAGAAGTGATAGTTTGGTAGTAGCGTATATATATATGGAGTCAGATACGTCACCTATGTCACACTCCTATTGGTGGAGAAGTGATGTATGATGATTTACATGAGAGACATGTTGGAATCATTGAATTCTAATAAAGGGGAGCAGAAGATTTGTAACATGTGTAAAGAAAAAATTTGCATATAGAGGACAGCACTGGACAAGAATAGCTAATCTTGTGAGAAGAGGGAAGTACCATATCGGAAACTGCAGTTTAAGTATTTTTTAAAAATGTTCCCTTTGAAACAAGAATTATAACTTAGATCACATATAAATCCCAATTTTAACATACATTATAATGTTAACTTCATTAACATATATATTGATAATAAAATGGTGTAATTAAATATTGAATGTAACACAGTACTATACACAGAAAGGAAATTAAAAACTGTGCTAGGGGTCATAGGGTTAAGGAAGAAAGTACCAAACAGGAGAGCAGGGATTCAACTCGTGTGTAGAGTCCAGAACACCTCACTTGGGACTGGAGAAACACCACACATGAAACCCGAATGTGGTGACGGAGAGATGACACAAACAACTAAGGTCGACTGAGAAGGAGGCACGAAAGAGGAAATTGTAACAGAGGGAATAACTCAAGGAGGGAGTAGGCCAGAACAGATCAATAAGAAGGACCCGATAAAGGGAGATGTGGATGAGGTATAAACTCAGAGAAGAAGACGGGTATGAGGATAAGGAGAAAAATAAAAGATGGTCCAATCCTGACTGGTGATGTCTATTGCCTAAGCTAAATGAAGCAGTACCAGGGACCACAAGAGAAGGAGCTTGGAAATGAGGTGGGTAGTAAATGCATCCAGAAGAGAAGTACCATACTAGGAGCACAGCCACTGAAACACCTGTGGATCGACAAACCACTCCTTGGGGAGTTTGGCGTCAGAATAAGACAAGCGATTTGTAACAAGATGCAGAGCACCTGGGGCAGAACAAGCCAATAGGCATATGTGAAGAAATTGGTCTCTGAAAGGGATATCCAAAGTTCGAAAAGAAAGCAAATGGGAATGGTGTCCCATTGCTGTTTGATGGTCAAGACAACTATCAAATTGTTGTAATGAATCAAGACCAAATGGTCACCTTAATGATGGGAGGAAATGATCCATAAAAGAAGCTGCTGACAGAAATAGTCCATTGGATTGGGAGGAGGTAGAGGAATGCTAGCTGAGGTGTTGATTCTTTTCAAGGAGAATCCATAGATTGTGTAACACTCACAGAAGACCTCAAATGTGTGCATGACCCTAGATAAGAAGGGGTACCTTGCCACTGATATCACTGTTAGCCTTAAATGCTAGGCTACAATACAATGCACACATAGCTAGAACTGCATGCATTACTATTTATGTACACACCACCACACATAGACTGATGTGCAAAAATCTTAGACATTTAGCATTTTTCTAATGCATAAGGAAACTAAAACTTTGTGTTCAATGTAAATACACCTTTATGAAAAAGAAAACCTTATTCTAATAACCAAATTCATATCTTAATATAAACTAATATAAAGTATGTACACCCTTTTCTTTCAAAACCATTGACATTCTTCTACAGACACTTCCAAGTAATTTTGTTATAAGCTCCAGATGAATGGTGTTCCATGTTTCTTCCAAAACCTTTCAGAGATCATCTGAATTAGTGAGATATTTTTTTCCTTTTTCCTTGTCTAAATAGTCCTGTACAGCTTCAATTATATTAAGATTTGGGCCATTCCATGCTTTGAAGGACTCCAGTTTCACCTTTCTTTTACAAATAAGTTTTAACTATTTCAGTTAAAGAGTTTGGAACAATAAGTCTTGCACCACTGGGGACAGTATGGTGTATTAAAATTTGCTTGTACTTTACTGCAGTCAAGGTACCATCAACTTTCAGTAATTTTCCAACACTATTTGAGAATATGCAACCCTAAACCAGAATTGAATCTCCTCCATGATTATTTGTTGGATTCAAGCAAGGCTTTTTAAAAATTGCAGTTGTTTGCCTCAAGTACTGTCTTTGATAAAATCCAAATCAATGCAACTCTGAGTAGTCTGTACAAAGCACCTTTGACCATTGTTCAATTTATTTATTCTTGTGTGTATTTTAGCCTTTTAGTCTTGTTTCCCTTTCTTAATAGACATATTTTTACTGCTGCACATCCTTAAAGTTCTGATTTCAAAAATGACTTTTGTACTGTTGATGGATGAACAGTTCTGTTGTCAATTCAATGCTTGTCTTCTTTCTATTCCTTAAGGATATTAACTTCAGTATTTCTCATCCTTGTTAGACAGCTTTTTGGGTCTTCCAGTCCTGGGTTTTTCAATTACAGATTATTTTTTCTGTACTTGTTAATTATGCTTTGGATACTACACCTTGAAAAGGAAGCTATGTAAGCTATATCACTCAATGTTTTCTTTCTTTATGCAGAAACACAATTCTGTGTTGATCTTCTACTGAAATTTTAACCATTTTCTTTTAAGATAACATTTCTTCCTGACAGATTACTATTTTGAAGTAAACAAAGTAGCTTTATGGATGTGAAGAAAGGAACGAAATATGTTAATGACGACGAACATCTGACAATGAATCATCAATTCATTTTATTAGTAAATATGATGGATTAGCTATTACAGCATTTTATGTTGGCTGCTCATATATAGTTTGAGTTCTTGTAGTCAAAATTTGTTGAAGATTTTGACCAATGAAAAGTAAAAACTGCTAAATCACAAGTTAGGTTTCTTCTTAAGTTGTATTAATAACTGTAAAAGTTGTTTTAATAGTAGAAAACACAAGCAGAGGCTTTAAATAAAATGTTGATAACAAACATGTATTGTAACTCTTGAATGTGTGGAAGCCTTTTTCACAACAGTGTACAGACATTATTAAGTATTATAAATTTACATCAACTTATGTGCATTATACCATGAAACAAAAATAATGAAACTTAAGATATTTGCACAATTCACATAATAAATAAAACCGTTTTAGTACATTTCAAAAATTGTAACATAAGCTACATGAAGTATAAAGCATTTTACTCTTCAAAAAAGTGTTGTCCAACTAGCAGCTCATAAGCTTTATCCAGCTCCACAATTGAATTTATCCATTCTATACAATCGTTATGAAATACATTTTAAGGAACAAATTTATACATTAAAAATATTTTATTCACAAATAAATTTAAATAAAAAAAAGCCATTCAAATACATCAAATAAGTGATAAATTATGGCCCTCTTATATCTGTATCATCTACAGTCCAGACCTCTAGAGGTAAATATAAAATATAAAAAATATTGATGTGAAAAACAAACCATGTTTTCTGAGTCAGCTTCTTGTAGACGATGAAGTAATCCTTCTATATTTTCAAGCGTTTTCTGCTTTTTCTCCATTGACAGTTCTGTGATTTTCTTCTTACGTAAAAGATTAGCTGCCTATAAATCAATATTTACATCTCAATATGCAATTAAATACAAACAAAAACACTGTCACACTATAACTATTATCAGTTATGAATAAATTAAAATCAAATCATATTATCAACTTTAAAAAGTATATTATTACACATCACAAACTATGTTTTTATTAATTAGCTTGTACTACCACATTTGAAAAGCACATCAATATAATTTGTAAAATTACCGGTAATTTACCAGTATACTTTCTAGTATTTATGAGGCTGTATGAAAACAATATTGTTTTCAATGTTTTGAAGTATACTTCAAACAGAATAATAATTGATAGTTCAGTATTTATTCAAGATAACTGAAGATGTATAATTTAACATAATTCAAATGTTGAAAAGAAACGATTTATTTTTTCTCTTTCTTGACTCATCAGAAAATAGCTTTCTGTTAATGACTTGTGTTCTAGCTCATCAGGATAAACGCAAGATTTTCTAGACAAAATTTCCTTTCTAAGTGAACTCTCATCTTCTGTTTAGATGTGGTTTCTCTTCAATGATCTATATCCATACCAGACGTTTTATTAGTAAGAATGAAATTGGCAGAATACGAACAGGAAATGAACGTTTTTGGTGTTCCTTTCAAAATTTTAAAACAAAGTCTACATTTCAACCTCATAAACATTTCCTTTAGATTTGATACAGAGCTTGAATGATAAACAAAAGGCATTGTTTAAGCTGTCACTTGCTATTTCTTTAAAACACAAATATAACTCGCAAACTTTAGATGTGCTATATAGCTCATAATGACATACCACATAGATGTCTTGAGGTAAGAGAGGTCTCAGGTACCCACTTTTCATTGTGAGCATGCTTGTTTAAACAAAACAATTATTCTTGCTTGTCATAACAATGGGAGCAAGTTAAACAAGTTCTTCTGAAAACAAACTCAACATCATGATTTATGATTTTTCAGACAAGACTAAATAACAGCACTGTGTAAACATCATGTTAGTTTAACAAACAGATAATATACTAATTTTTACTATTATTATAATTAACAGTTGGACAAACCATTTTAATAATAAACACATTTATAAGTTAAGGAAAACAAGGAACCTATTGGTCAATCTAGTTATCTCCTTCACTAAACTTTAAAATAAAACACTAAAAGCCAGTCCTTATCGTTCACATATTTATAAAGCCTTCCCTTTTAACTCCCTAAATCTACTGCTTCTACTACATCTGAAAGCAATCCATTCCAAAGGTCAATTACCCTGTTAGAAAAATAAAACTGTTTTAGCTGAAGATGACTCCTACTCTGCCAAAATTTATATTCGAGTCTCCTAGCCCTACAATTTTCACCGTTAATAAGTATGGAAAAAGATGACGTCAAAACAATTCGTTTAACAATCTTAATCATCTATATCAGATTCCCTCTAACTCTTTCTTTTTGAAGAGAAAACAATTTCAGAGATTTTAAACTGTCCTCATACGACAGTCTACCACTGGAGAATAGCAGTTTTATAACTAACATAATGCACAATGAATTACCCCCAATAAAATAAATATTTTAAGTTTTAGTTAAAACTGCACAATAACAAGTTATATTCAGAAATCAGTATATGACTTCATTTTGCTGGCTTTCTTCCACAAGCACTTACAACAGTGGTTTTGCAAGAACAATATTGGCAAACAATGGTCAATAGAAAAGTACAAAGTTCTAGACCCATTAGTTAGTATAGTGTACAAAAGTGTTCACTAACAGGAGAAAGTATGTATAGTACAGTATCGTCCCCTCCTCAATATATGTACTCAAGTATACTAGTCAAGATTAAAGTTAACTATTTAAGAAGTAAATTCTAACTTTACTATTATGTAAGTAAGTAATCTCAAACTACTTTTGGTTACACTAGGTTAATTCAGTTTAAATGTCAGCAAAAAATGTCGTAAAAGGATATTATGACTGAAAAAAAATTTCCTTTTCCCTTGACTAACTTTAGTGAGATATTATACTCAATATCTTTTGAATTTAACTAGTAAACATTTAAGGCAATTAGCAGTAGAGTTGGGTGATTAGTAGTATTTGGTAATCAATTAATCAATGGCCCCATTAACTTTGAAAGTAATTGATCAATGGGACAGTTATCAATTACTAAATGTCACTAACTGATTAGCTCTTTTTTGTAATATGGAAGAAAAATACTAATTTCTACACTGACTAATACAAGTGAGCTATATAAAAGTCCAATAAACCAATAAAGATGAGTATTTTACGATTATTAAAACAAAGAGACTATCAATAATGCAATTCTTTCACCTCTGCAAATTTTAACTCATTAAATTCAAAGCTTTTTCTTCAAAAGGATCTGACAATCTTGAGAGATTTGGTATTTGTAAATAATCAAATTTCACTTAAAAGAATCACAGATAATTTCTGTAAGATTATAACTTAAACATTCTATAAACTTTGAAAACTAATTATTTTATTGCATTAATCAATTTTTTTTTTGTAATACAGGATGCTTCAATTGTGAAAAATACATTATGTAACTGCAACATTTACAGGAAATATACTATGGATTTAAAATGGAATTCTCCAACTCTGACTGAGATGAAGAATGAGATCGGATTCAATGTAAAAACATAATGAAAAGAAATATTTATTGCTGAACAACACAATTCAGTTAAAAAGTAAATTTTGATTATAGGCAGTGTTCCTAAGTGACAGAGAGACAGGGCTTTGAATCCTTTATCTAATCCTGTGAGAGTATGCATTATCATTCACGATAACAAATAACATCACATCCCTAAGTGCACAAGCACTACATAAATCACTGGTTAGTCCAACTGTAAGGTCACTAAAAAAAAAAGCATTCTTCACAGATGGGTACCTCATTGCCTTAGATACATTTTAAAGAAGTGTCAGGTCAGCATGCACAAACATAAAGAGCCATGTATGGTCACATGGTGGCATAACAGGTATTCAACATCAGAATGTAATGTGTTGTCCTGTATTTGTAGCAGGAAATTCTCTAAGAAGTAGACCAGTAGTATCTCATGACTTGACAAACACCTGAGATTAAGACTATCTACATCGTCATCTAAGAAAGCTGTTCTAGTAATGAAATATGCATAATCATTGGACACCAAGGAAACAAAAAACATTCAGACCTAATGATGGACTTTAAAACTCTAGGACAATAAGGTGAAGAAAATATGAAAAATAAAGCTTTAAGGTGTTCCTCATTCCAATAGAATCTATAAGATATAACTGCAAGAATAGTCATTTTGTCTATGATATCTATAATGCTATGCAATGACATACACGTAGACATGGAAAAAGTACCCACTGAAACATTATCAGCCCCCAGATGACACTCTTTGTCCATGTGCAGCACCAGTGCAAAAAGTAGAATTATATCTAGAACAATTGCTTAGGTATATGTAATATGTGAGAATCTTGACTGGACGAATCCATGCAAACATGGAATCTCATATCATAAAGGAAAGACCAGGATTTTTTTAATCAATTGATTCCTTCAGACTAGAAGCTCTTGTATTTGTTAAAAGGGGTATCAGTTAACTTGGGTCACAATGTGCAACACAAGTTAGGATTGAAATAGTAATAAAACAGGTAACAGAAAAGAAATCATTTGCTAAGGATTCTATCTGGCTTGAAAAAAACTCAACAGGATCCTGAAACTGATCTGGCTTGAAAAAACTCAACAGGATCCTGAAACTGATCTGACTTGAAAAAACTCGACAGGATCCTGAAACTGAAGACACAGTAATGTCAGGTAAATAAAACTTTAATAATATATTTGGATTTCTCCATATGCTAACCTGCCCAATATCCTCTAAAAGGTAGTGTGACCTGGACATTAAAGACATCACCAAATGGTAGATTTGGTGAGATATAATCCAAAATTCACTTTTAACATGTTCAGGATCATAATGGATCAAATGTACAAGCCAACATGTTAATGTAGCCAGAGTAAAATCCAAGGAGAATGATTAATTGTATGGTACAAAGAATATTTTTTGAAACCCCCCCTTGATTAATTGTATGGTACAAAGAATATTTTTTGAAACCCCCCATGATTAATTGTATGGTACAAAGAATATTTTTTGAGACCCCCCTCATGATTAATTGTATGGTACAACGAATATTTTTTGAAACCCCCGTGATTAATTGTATGGTACAAAGAATATTTTTTTGAAACCCCCCATGATTAATTGTATGGTACAAAGAATATTTTTGAAACCCCCATGATTAATTGTATGGTACAAAGAATATTTTTGAAACCCCCATGATTAATTGTATGGTACAAAGAATATTTTTTGAAACCCCCGTGATTAATTGTATGGTATAAAGAATGTTTTTTGAAATCCCCTGAAAAATGTACTACATTCTTCCAACTGATATCAGTCAGGACAATTAAAGGACAAGGCTGTGGTTACCTTTTCTTGCAACCCAAGTTTTAGGCAAAAAAAGCTTGAGCTGGGTGTAAGTATAAGGCTTGAGAATATAACGTATACAAAATATCAAGAGCATAGCCATCAGAATGACTTGTACTTACTAAAAGGAAGGAGTAAGAAAGAATAAGTCATTAAGGGTTCTAAAGGATGAGATGCTAATAAACGTAAGTGTAAACCCAAGTCACATTTAGGATAATGTTTAGGACTTGAGATCAATGGAGACGAAATGGTTGCACGACCTTTGAACAATGGAGGAGACAAAAGAGATTGGTGACTTCCATAGCATACGAAGGTAGCAGATAAGACTGCTCTGTAACCAGCTATGCAAGAAGTTGATACACCATAGTCATGAAACACATTCTCAAGCTGTAGATGAATAAGATATATTACGTCTAATGCACCATCTCTAGAAAGCAGAGACTGATAAACAGTTGCAAAAGAGCATCTGTAAAAATGGAGTAGTAATTTAGGAAAAAAATCTGGTTTCTCAAAAATAGGGCTAAGCAACCTCCTATAATGCCGTAGATGATGAATGACATTACTACGTAAGATGTTTGATGGTGAAAATGGGAATAGTTCCCTGTAAGAAAATCAATATAATAGGAAAACTGTTGTAGAGTTGATCAAAGTGGAGCAATGAGGAGAACTGATCTTGGACTAAGCAGCCTCCTATAATGCCGTAGATGATGAATGACATTACTACGTAAGATGTTTGATGGTGAAAATGGGAATAGTTCCCTGTAAGAAAATTAATATAATAAGAAAACTGTTGTAGAGTTGATCAAAGTGGAGCAATGAGAACTGATCTTGGCAAGTACTTAAGGAACAGCATGGAGACGAGGGTAGGCATAGAAGAAAAGGTTCTCCCAAGATTGACTCAGGGTATCAGAAGGAAGAAAATTTTGATCTGAAATTGGAAATCGGTAGAGTAGAAGAAGACAGTGATCATCCAATATCTCTGCCATTCGAAAGAATCAAAGAGTAGAGAACTCACTCCATAGAGAAAAGCAAATAATCTTTAGAAAGAATTTCTCAAAATTTCTATCATAGAGGAACTCAAAAGTGAACATGTTGAAAATGAAGCCAAAAGAGTAGAGAGACTGCAACACAGCAAAGACTTCAGGAATAGGTACAACTTTAATTTTTATTTAAGCCACCACTGTAGAACTATCTGTGTAAACCAACAGAGAATGGTGATGTAGAAGTCATAGAAACTCGAGAGAAACATACTGAACAACTCAAAGTTGTAACATGTTGATGTGAGCAGTTGCTTCTTGAAGAACTAAAACAATGCTGACTTCCTTACACAGTGCCCCATTTATGAAAGGATGAAAGTGTATAGGATGTAGAAGAAAAAGTGATCCTGTTGCATAAGCCCTTGATTTAATAAAAATTGAAGAAGCTACATATTAATGGAAGACATAGACTTGGTTCATGAGAACAATTCTGAAGTCAAATGCCACTGAGAAGCAAGTTGTTGCATCTCATTTGTCTCAAGGGAACGATATCAAAAAGAGAAGCCAACATCCTCAAAGCAGAAGGATGTATTTCATGGTAATTGTGGGCAGAAGAGTATATATGAGACTCCAAGGAATGCAAGGAGACAGATGAAGAATTATTTCAACTATGAAAATGTAAAACCACAGATGTACTAAATACTGTGTTGTTACTAAATAGGATTTGAAGTTGTGGATAATCTACTCAACAGATGCAGTCTACCGAGTGTGTTTAAGTTACTGAGTGGACAAAAGGGTAAGAATAAGTTAATCATCCATGTAAAAGTGAACATCAATGTCAAGTGGAGAAGACCAGCAATGCTTTAGATACTTGACAAAAATTGTATCAACGCAAACCAAGCCAGAGGGAAGGGTAATGAACTGATAAGCTTCACATCTAACTACATCTATCATCCAAAGGTAAAAATGAAGAGAGTTTCTTACAAATTTTATGTTTTCTATTTTGAAATGAGGTTGAGATAGGTGTCCAATCTTATAAAACAATTAAACAAGAGTTTGTTTTTTTTTAAATCGACCTACAGACTAGACAAAGTACACAAGCAAAAAAAAAAAAGAGCCACAGCAAAGGAAGACTGTTACATAGAAATCAGAACAAGAGAAGAAGAAAGTCTCAAAGTGAGACAGGTCACAGCATACAGGGTAGAAAAACTAGTGATGAGTTAAAGCAGAAAAGTATATGGAAGATACCCCAATAACTTATCCAAGGCTCAAGAACTTCCAAAGTAAAATGAATAATGAAATATAATCTCACTAAAAAGCTACCCGTATGATGAACAGGAGGAATGTGAAGGCTATTAACATTTTTCTAATGTTTAAAAGCATCAGGAAAGACCCAAGTAATAGGAGAAAGTAGAAACAAGTTGTCCAATTAAACCCTAGTACCCTTATACATATCAATAATTGGTTCAAGATTTAAAATAAAATATAATTGAAAAAATAGGTGTAGAAAAAAAAGATAGATCAACAAAAGCTTTCTAGGGATTAGTGTTTGCTGAAAAATATTGCTCTGCAGACACTGAATAAGTAAGAAATGGCTATAGATCATCAAAATGAAATAAGGGTAGGTGTTCCACAACTGAGCATGTCACTATGAAACCCATCAGGAACACCAGAAGATTTTCTCCTTTGTGTCACATAATAAGCAGTCCTTATATTGTCTGCCCTGGTTATGTTTGAGATATTCTTCTTTACTTTCCACTCATGGGTTCTTAGAACTATAAAAACTATATTATTTACTAGTTTTGTAGCATTTAACGTATATTATTGTAGTTTCTTCAAGTACTGATGACTTGAATTTTTAAATTGATATTAAAAGTGGTCTGAATGAGCCGTAGTCTTATTCTCATTGAGGCTACAGCTAGAGTATTCCAAACTTACATTCAAATTATTAAATGGAAAGCAAACAATACCTTATTCTTCTGTTTATCCCTAACTGCTAGTTGAGCTTCATCTCTTAATCTAAAAAAACAAGGGTTTGTTTCACTACTTTATTCTTTCAAGTAGAATACAGTAAATATATTTTTTATTTTCTTTCACATAAGTGCAATGTTATAGGCACCACAACATTTGTATAAAAGTGCACAGTGCAAATACAGTTAAAGTATTCAGTTAAGTGTCACCACAATTCAGATATTCCAGCATTAACTTTGACATATTAAACAAATTTATTTTTAGTGATGAAACAGATGAATGGACGGCAACTGCCTGTTGTAGAAACACAAGTGTAGAGGATGATATTTCGAAAGTCTGATGTCCAGTGGAAATCGTACAAGATATTCAGATCCATTCTGATGAAAAACAAACAGAAACCTACTAATAAGAAATATAAAAACATCATTTATGAAATTCCATGTACACGACTCATGGAAACAGAAAATTCAGCCATTGCAGGACACATCATGTCAACTGGACACAAAATAAACTAGGAAAAACTAGAATCACCAACACAGACAAATTTTGGAAGACAATAAAAATTAACCATTTTACATTCACAAAATAAAGTCTTCACTAAACAGAGATTCCAGATTAGAGGTGAGTAACCTGTGGCTATCATTGGTTGAATCTACAGGAAGTCTCTCCACCAATCAGAAATAGGGATAATCCAACCAGTCATAACACACTCTCCACAATCCACCAGAATACTATAAAGACCAAAAGGCAGAAGACTTTTGAAACGTCGTCCCCTACACTTGTGTTACTACAACAGGCAGTTGTCATCCATTGAACTAAGTATCATCGTAAATACTCTGCCTAAATAATCTATCAAAGAATTGATTTTTAGTGTTGAAAGAAATGTACCATATAAATTGTTTACTCTTACAAGACAATGAATTCAAAAATATCAATGTATATAGTGATTTTGTAATAGAAAAACAGGTTATTTTGTAATTTATTCTTATGGTTTGTGTAGGTTAAAGGTCAAATAGTTCTTGTACTACTAGCTTTGATAAAACTGCAATGGCAAAACACTGGCTGAATTTTTTATTATTATTATTACCTAGAAGATAAAGGTAGTTTGTTTTTTTCTAGCTTTTCTGTGAACATATTTTTAGATGTGAATCACTAAATGTCAGGAGTACGTGAACCAGTGTGTAACATTAAGTAACATTACAAATGTGCATGCATACTTTAGGTGGGTATGTATATCAATTTGTTTTATTTAATTTTTTTGTTATTCAGCACAAAACAATGTACTATTTACTGTGCCAACCACAAAGTATCAAAACCCAGTTTTTAGGGACATGTGTACCAGTAAACATTATGCATATACACTATGTGCATCACTAAGTTTTTATGTGCTTATGTGTGTCAATATGTTTACACAAAAATAATGAAGCTTTTGCAAAATAACATAAGAACATTTTATAATAAAAATCTTAAGCACTAATTCTGATTAACTTGCCCTACCCTTTATATTCTTCCTGTAATTTTTCAATATCGTCCTCCAACTTCTGCTTTACTTGTTTCAAGCTAAAAATACAAAACCTAAAATTAGACATGCCATTGCTTCACAATCATAAAATCGATTACAATAAATTTACGCAAGATAAAGAAACATTAATTTAGGTAATATACAAAGATAAGAGCATCTAACATTAAAGAAACCGAGAAGTGTATAGAAGCTAACAAGTAATATTCATTATCCAACAAACTTAAAACAATAAACAAAAATCTCACAAACTAAATACACCTATGAAGAAGACTGAATTGGTAACACTTTCCTAAATTGAAACTGTATTTCCTACAGATACTTGCTTCTTCTCACAAATAGCTTTTCTCAACATATCTGTTCTCTATGTGCAAAAACTACTCTCACGTGTATTTACATAAGGCATCCGCATGCTATCAAGTAAATGATCATGCAGCAACCCTACACCAATAGGAGTACAAAACAACTCCTCTCATCACTAGCACCCTCTCTTCCATGCAGCTTGAAATCATTACATACAAAACCAGCACTCGAAGTGGCGATGACAGGTAGGAAGTGTGAGAGAAGGTAAATATCTATTGGAAATACATTTTCAGTTTAGAAAAATGTTAACTTCTGATACAGTATCTCACCTCTGCTCTCAAAGAGCTAGAATCTTACACTGAGTTGGCAGAGGGTCTGTTAAGAAGATGATCCCCCTTAAAAAAGTGCTCAAAGGAAGACCATTGGAAGTGCAACTAAATGGAAGACAACACCGCCATGACAACACCGCCACTTCTGAACCAGGTATACTCCTCACCCTTAAGAGATTATGTCACATTAATGGCAGAAACAATGGAGGGACCTCTCCAGCTTAAACATGATCATCACCATATCCACTGGAGGATGTTAAAAAAGTGGACAGCAAAGTGAGGGTGCATTTCCAATCTATCACTGGACAGAATGGGGAATGCATCATCCGGTCCATGGTATGAGTAAGGTACTCTACCACATGTGTGTGAAATAACATGGACCCCCCAATGCAGAGAGACTAGGGTGCATCAAACCATAAATGGGAGATCAACCTCAACCATCACCAAGCAAATCATGATAGGATTATTTGGCCCATGGTAAGAAGAGGATCCCTCTACGTTTCACCTTGGATAGGGGAACTGGGAGGATGAGCCTCTGTACTAAGGATCTGCATCATCATATGCACACATCCAACACAACCAGCACCATATCTACCAGGAACTGACATCTGGGGACAGAAGAAAAGTGGAAAGCAAAGTGTAGGTGCATCTCCAGTCTATCACCAGGCAGCATTGGGTATGTATCGTCCAGTCTGCAGAAGGAGGAGGGTACACAGCCACACACGTGAGGATTTATGTGGCCAGTTCAGCTCCAATCATCACCATATCCACTAGGAACTGACATCTGAGAGATGGTAAGAACAAGGGTGCCTCAGGTGGAGGGTCAAACTGCATGTTGGTGGAATGCATCATTCAACACCTGATGCCATATAGAATTGCACATCTAATCCATGTTAGGATGAGCACTGACACCATCTACAATGGTAGAACACCACTGTCCTACTCTTAACTTAGTGGAATTGAGCATAGTCAGGAAGAAGCCTCCATGGTCTGCCACCCCTGCAGCTAGGAACTGGTAAATGGCAAAGACTCCCATACTCCACAAAAAGAAGAGTGGAAACAGCATGTTGGAGAGTCTGGAGGAGCACTGTAACAGAGACAGTGCAATGGGTGACCACAATATCATATTTTGAAAAGCAGGCCAATCCTGTGACATACAATACATGGATCATCTAAGACATGCAGTAATCCATGTCTGCTTTACTTACATTAATTAGTCCATAAGTGTACAGTCTGGGATGAACATCTTTATGAAGCAAAATACTGTGAGGGATGCCTACAAATGGTCTTGCAGACCACCACATCTCAACAGTGGGTAAAAATGACACACAGGTCTTGCAGAAAGTATTTTAAAATAATTATACCTGGTCAGGCAACACTCACAACGAAGTGACAGAGGCACATACAAAGAAAATAAAGAAAAAAGGAGCACTTACCCACTCAAAGAGACATCATGGAGTGTAAAATGGTGATAGGAGGAAAACAAAACCTTGTAGATGAAGAAATGGCTAGGAGGTGAAGATAATGAGCAATAAAGGTATGAGGAGTGATCCACATTCCGGTGCTAATGGTGTCCTCCAATGGATAATGGAAATGAGCAGCTGAGAACCAAAGTTTTGGGCAGAAAAGAACATTTGGGGGGAAAGGACCACATAGGAATGGAGAAACAACGTGCAGTGGACATCAAGAGTGAACATCAAAAGACAACACCCACACATCAGCAGGAGAAAAAGGGTTTTCAAGGAAAGGAGATAAATAGAACAGGTCAACAAGGGTTCAAAAGTCGGAAGGGTAAGGGCATGAAATACAAAATTGAAATTCCAATCCAGGAGAGAGGCAGAGCACAGAGGATGGGTGACATGAAGGGAATGGAACAATAGGCTGACAAAGCTGCACGATAGACTGTGACAGCAAAGACCAAAAGGCCCCTGTCAAAGAGCCAGGTTAGAAAGGAAATGATGTGTAGATCAACGATGGTATGTGTACCAACTGCTTTGTTACACTGCCATGGAGGAAGGACATATAGAATGGGAAATCAAGGATGTCACATGGCATGAAAGTCCAGCCCTCCAGACCATGGACCAGATAAAAGCCACACGTGAAGCCTGAGTGAGGAAATGGACATATGATGCATGCTGGATTGGGGTTAACAAAGGAAGTTGGGAAAAAGAGGGAAAGAAAGAAGAGGCAACACCAGTAGTTAGCACAGAAGTAGAAACCATGGCTGAGCTGGCTAATATGGAGCCACTAACGGAACCTGACACAGAGTGATCTAGATAATGGAAAGAACCAGGAAATCAGACAAATGGGAGAGTAAGCATACCTGACTGAGAGCAATCTGACCGAGAGCAACTACTGCTCCAGCCAAAGAGTGTAGAGCAGGAGACCAAAACCATGGGAGCTGAGAATTGAGATTAGTGGCAAAGGCATCCAGCTATGAAACATTCCACTAGGCATAGGGCCTTCACAACACCTATGGGTCCAGTGACCACTCCGCAGGGAGAATCATGTTGGAATGTGATAAATGATCCACAACAAGATTCAGGGCACTTGGAATATGACAAGCCAACAAAAGAATTTGATGGCTGTGGACCCAAAACAGGAGATCCAATGTCCAAAAACAGAGGTCTCTCAACAGAGTGCCCCCTTGCCTTGTGATGTACGAGACAACTGTCAAGTTGTCTGAATGCACCATTACCAACTGATCTTGAAGACCTGGAAGGAAATGAACCAAAGCCCGACAAATTGTGAAGAGCTCCAAGAGACTGATATGGAGAGAACACTCCCTGAAATCTCCTGAGGATCCAGATAAGCACCCCAACCAGAAAGAGAAAAAAAAAAGAGTAAAAAAGGGACATTCCAGACGAAGAGGAGGAAGAGGAACACCAAAAGTGTTGTTGTCTTAATCCAACCACTAGGCATAATTGGTCTCAAGGAGGAAGGAAGAAAGGAGCATCCAAGGGATCCCAAACGATGCTCCACTCTAACAAAACACACCTAAGTCAACACATGTTGGTATGACCAAGAGGTATGAAGGCTTCCAGAGAAGCCCACATCCCCAAATAGAGAGAATCTCTCTTGTAATGGAGAAGGACAAGAGGACAGGCTATGAACTAGAAGCTCCATAACCCTCACCTGAAGGGAAGAAAAATGGGCACAACTGTGTAGTGAATTGAACAACACCCCATAATGAACTAGGTATTGTGCGGGGATGCAGAAAGACTTCTCCACCATCACCAACCAGAGCTGCTTCTCTGAGGATAAACTGATTATAAAGGACAAAGTTAGCCTGTGAGGATGATAGAAGTAGCCAGTCATCTACATAAAAGTGGAATTGAAGGCCCTGGGAATGAAGAAGACAGGCAAATGCCCAAGCCACCTGACAAAAACGTAGAGGGCAAGTCCAAATAGAAAAGCCTAGAACTGAAACACCCCCCGATGGACAAATAAAAAATAATGTCGGGATACAGGAAAGATGGTAATGTGTAGGTACACATCCAACACCTAGACCTTCATCTTCTACAGACTAGGAGTGAAAACCTAATGAATGGCAAGGTAAGACTCCAGGTTGAAACAAGTGAGGTCCAAGAAGCTGTTCAGAGCTGGCAGATCGATGATAGAACACCCATCCCCTGTCTTTTAGGAGATAACAAAGAGATGGGAATTAAAACCTAAACAAGAAGGGTCTCCCCATTTGGTAGCACCCTTCCCAAACCACCTCTGAAAGATGCTGTCCAGCAATGGGATCCCTAGGAGAAAGGAAGGAAATGGGATGCAGAGACAAGAGAGGACAATTGAAAAGGAGGACTAGACCCCCTGAGACCACCTTGAGAACTTAAGGGTCCTTAGCAATGTCCCTCCAAATGTGGGCAATTCTGAGAAGCCTGGACCTCACAAGTCCCAAACCTACAATGGTAGCCCCAGAAACAGTGCCTCAATAACTGAAAGCAAACCTCAGGAATATGAGAGGCTGGAACTGGCAAGGGAGAAGAAGGAAGAGAATGAGACACAAACAGATACATGACGGGTTTGGGACAAATGGGAGGCCAAGGAGGAAATGGGGGTATGCAATCGTGCTGACTCAGCCCTGGACTCCAGAGAGTCAGAAATGCCACTAAAAAAAACTTCCTGGTGAAGAAAAAGTGTTATGCACAAATCACACAAAGAGGCAGGCAAATGAGCCTGAAAAAAGAGAAACAACAGATCAACCATGTTCGCAAAGCCAAGGTGGAAGAGGAGAAGCGGGCTAATGTGGAAAACAGGAGATTCCAAGTCTCCACTGAAAACCCCTTGGAGGAGCAATGAACAGCATCAAACAATAGGTGTAAGGATGGTAAGGAATGGAAAGGGGGGCCAGTGAGATGAATACAGGAAAAGTGAGACTGGGAAGACAAAACCAGTGTTTTGGGGGTGAGATCCCCACAGAGGACAAGCAGCTCAAAATGATGCGAGTCTAAAAAGGGAAAATCAGAGCAATGACACGCCAGAGCATGGTCATCCAGAGTATGGGGGTCAAGGCATACTGACACCAGGATACAACTCGTCCCCAAAATTACTCACATGAATCCCAATAATGGGAAAGGGAGGAAACACTAAATACTGACCCAAGGTCTCATCACTGAGTGGGGCAGGAGTAGAATCACAGGAAATGGGACATAAAGATAAAACATAACAAACCTGATTGATTAATTCAAGAAATGAGGAAGAAGGTCTTGAAACAAGATGCAGGTGTGAGGCATAAGTAGGAGGGGGAACAGGCTGTTCAAATCTTCATTGTCATGTTCAAGCAAACCCTTGCTTCGTATGTGAGGACTGCATAAAAGTATTTAATTCCCTATGAACCCACGTCATCACTTCCTGAGCAGATAAAGCTTGCTCAAACACCATTGAAGTGGCAAGTAAATCAGCTGTAGTAGTGGCAGTAGCTGTGGTAGATTCCATGCTGACTTGCAAGTGCATAAACAGTGAAGTTATTAACCAGGAAAATAAAAAAATTGTTCTCCAGCTCTGTTCTCAATCTGATAAAAGTCTAAAGATTTAAATGAAGAAAAAACTATACAAAGCCTAATAACCAACAGGAAACTTGATCAGTTAAGAAACATTTCAGTCAGAAGACATGAGCGAAAACACGTCCTAGCAGTTAGACTGCCAATCAAGGAGTACTTTCGGACTGCACAGAAGAGAGGGCACTACTGACAATAGGAGTTATGTTGCACTCCTATTGGTGGAGATTTGATGCAGAATCATTTACATTATAGCATTCAGATGTCTCATGTGAATACACGTGAGGGTAAATGGGACCATCAAGGCTAGTGACAAGCAAACATTTGTGCATATAGATGGTAGTGTAAGTCATGATAAGCTCTTTGTGAGATGAGGTAAGATATCGTATCGGAATACAAAAGATATTAAGCTGACTTTTATTCCAAATGTTTCAGCTAGTTAAATTAAAAAAATAACATATGGACAAAAAGGGACCCACCTTTTATTCTTGACGATATTATCAATTCCTCTTTTATTGAACTTTGTTTTTAAAGTGCTGCTCTCCACTACTGCCAATGGCAACTCATTATATAGGCTAATTTTCTGTTATAAAGATAGGCCTGTCTTAAATGAAGTCTAGCTTGTCTTTTTTCAAGTGTTAAATTTGTGAACTCTTGTCCAACTGTCTATAGAATACAGCACAAAGAAACCAAAGACCTTTATCCTATCAATCCCTTGGATATTCTTCTACTTCAATAAGATCACCCCTTATTTTTCAAGTTACAAGATCTTTGCAGGTTATCATCACATGGATGTTGTTCTGTATTTTCTATGTACCCTCATCTAAAAGGCAATGGAACTTGTCTTGCTTTAAAATTTGTTAGATAAGTAGTTAGGTAGACTAAAACTCAGTAGCATTGTTTATATGACAGGGATGTGTTTTTTAAAATATTACTATACTTTTTATCTTATACTTGCATTGCTAAAACTGAATCCCCATCCCCCCCCAAATTTTTTTTATGACTTGTTAGCCTGTCAAATACTTTATAACTGTACTTGTAACAATTAAGACAGGAGTTGTCTAGTGGGGCTTGTGGCCCTAAATAGCTCAGTTAGTAGAGTACCAGTTTTGAGCTCTTGTATTCAAACCCTGGTCAGGAAAGACAATTATTTATTTAAATTTAAAATTGTTACATATTCATGAAGTTCACTGAGAATGGAAAATCAATAACTATAAATTAATACCACAAGAAAGCATTACAGGATTAAGGAAATTTGCAATTTTTTACAAAGAACATTAAAAATAATATTGAAGACTTACTTCAAAATCCCAACTTCAAGTTCAGAAAGTGGTGATGATAAGTTAGTTTTTCTATTCTGAAATCTGATAATCTGAAAATATCCAAGAAAGAGCATACAAATAATCTTCATTTTATCAAGCTTTATTTACATTTAAAGTATAAAAGCACCAATATCAGAGGAAAAAAAAAGGTATCATTTGGTACTATTGAGAATTTTTGCATGTTATACATTTCATTTATTTAACAGTGTTAATGGTTACGTATATAATCTAAGCAAAAGATTACTACTCACCTACAATAGTTCACCAAATACTCACTTGTATAATTAATCAGTTATTATTTAACATTCTGTACATTCTTTAATTCATTTACATTTATGTTGATTGTATCACAAATCCACATCATGGTTGGTTGCTTCCACAATAACTGTCTGTGTAAAATGTCATTAATTTTGAAACGCTATACTAGAGAGAAGGCAGTCAATCAACAGCACCGGCCACCAACTCTTGGGAGACTACTGCTTGATCAAATAGTGGAATTTGACCTTCCAATTTACAGTGCCCTCATGACCACAAATTGGAAAGCACACTTTTGTGACAACAGGCAACAAACCATGGACTCTTGGATTCAGAGTCAAGATATGTTAACCACCACACCACACCCTGCATAGTAAAAAATGCTACCATATATTCTACCTACATGTGACTAAAGACTTTATTGCAATCATCTGAAGATCAGCAATATCACAGTCATTTTAAAACTCATAAACATGTGTTTATCTAAAGTAAATAAAAACTTTTCAAAAAAGGAAGTAAAAGTAGGGCTGGCTAATAATAATCCTTTAAAAACATCATTCCTATGTAATAACACAAGCACACAGCGTAGTAGAATATCAAAAAACAAAAACAGGATAAATTAAACTCAACTGTGATTGAACAGTTGTATATATATTGCTATATGCTAATTCTTCCCTGTGCTATTATGTAGGTATGATGCAAATACCATCCCTACTATCTTGTTTGCATTGTTTTTGAAAGATTGATATTAACCATCCCTATATTTACTTACATTTTTTGAAATTTTTTTCTTTACTTGTTTCCTTTTGTTCTTTTCTTGCAGTTTCAATAAACATAAGAAGATTGTATTTATAACAAAGTTCTAAATTTCCATATTATAATTACTTTCATGGTTACGAGCTGGGTTGATTCCACCCCACCCATAATGGAAAGGTTAATGGTCTCTCCAAGTATAACATATTTAGGTAAGAAACAACCGTAAGTGCTATCATGGACAAATCAGCCAACAATACTACCAGCAGTTACATCTACCGGATGAAACAACTGAGCAACGATTTCAAAATAATTATTGTTGGATTAAAGCATAAAATTAGCTGTGTGTGAAATAAGAAAATCTCAAGGCTTTGTATAGAAGGTAGGCAGGCAACTGTCAGAGGTTTGAAAGATTCATCTCCAATTTCAACTGAATTCAGCCAAATTTCTTTGGAACACAGGTGTCAATAGGGCAAGTTAACATACTTATTGTCTTGTCATACATCTACAGTAGTGAGGGTTATCTGATTCAAGACACAGAGTGCAAAAGTTGAGATTTTTCATAATTCGAGAGCCCCATGACAACAAAACTGAAGTTTAAGTATTTTTTTAAAAGTTTCTTTTCAAACAAAGGAATTATATAGACAAACTTAGACAATATAAAATTATAACATATATTATAACATTAATTTCATTGACAGACATTGATAGTAAAGTTGTTTAATTAAATCTTGAATGTAACTCAGTGATTTAAAGTGATACCTACTGCAAAATGGAAAAAAAAAAGTTAATTAAGCCAGTATAGTGTTTTTGCATAAATGTCACTGATAATTCTAGGTAGCTATTCACCAATCATAAACACTGTCCCTAATAAATTCATAATATTTAGCTTTCTCCAATACGCACCTTCAATAATGGTTAATTATGACAGGATCATATTTTACATAATGTCACTAATATTCAAACTTGTTCCTTCTTTCTAGATTTCCATAACATATATCTAGATGAACAAACATACTTAAACAAAACGTACTTTTTCTTCTTTTTCAGAATGCTGTAATATTCTGAGATGATTTTGTTTGTCTAAGATCATAACTACAAGTTCAAATGTCTCCATCAAAGGGCAAATGTCTTTACATTGCTGCCATAACTCCTCTTCAGACAGAATACTATCTGTCCATTCTGAAACAATTTGATTCTGGCATCTAGTAAGGACTTGATCAGCCATATCCTTTAATTAAAAAAAAATTATGTTACATTTAAACTTGAACTTGACACAAACAAGAAATTATAAACAGCTTATTTTAATTCTATACATAAATCAAAGGTATTTTTGGATCTTTCATTAATATTGAACTCTAATTCTTTGTTTTTCAACTTCTACATTTTCCATCCTCTTTAATTCCTTACAGTTATAAATATAAATCAGTGATATAATTAAAGTCTGTAAAATGTACATATATCGGATTTCCAAAATCTCATTTTATACAATTTGTATTGCTAATTTGAATGATTTATTATATATATATATAAAACAAAACACTGGAATATCAGACTATTCTATTTTTTCTCTCCTTTATTAAGTGTTTCAGCTCATTTTGTAACTTTAAAGGTCACTCTTCAGGATAAAATTTTACTGAAAATCTATAACAGAAACATTCAAATATCGTTTTTCAACTAAACATAAATAATCTAAATTAAATACACATATTTCAAATGCACAAACATATAATATATTCCATGTATAAATTAAGTATATTAAAAATGCTCAAAACTAATAAAATTAGTTAACAGTTTATTCCTTTTTAAATTAAAATCTTATTCTAATTATACTTTCTCTTGTTATTATAGAAATGTAACTTACTTATTACATAATTTCTTATTTACTTTACTGTCTTTTTTGTAAGTCTTAGTAATAGTTTTCATGGTTTCACAATTCCTACCGACTTTACACAACCATTTACTTCTATCTATTTAAAGTGGTGCTAAAGAGAGAGAGATGGAAATGATGGAGAGTACAGCAACAAGTGGACCATAAACATGAGAGAGAGAGAACAACCACACAAGGATGTAGAAAGTGAGAAATTAAGCGTGGTACAAAAGGTAAGAAACTAATTAGGGATGACTCCTGATAAGCTGAATCTGCTCAGAATTCCAAAACATAAAAAACACCCCCAATAAACCTTAAATAAAGAGAGAAGAATCAACACAGATGTCTCTGCAAGAATACTGAGGAAGGCAACTGTCAGAAAGTAAGGTGACCTAACAAGTATATCCCAGAAACAACAAAAAAAAAGTAAGGCAACCAGAATGCGACAGAAGAAAGAGAGGAGAAGGTAGAAAATGTGTACATGTACATTTTCCCGATAAAACTGACAGGGTCATGATGTAAAGGTGCTGAAAGAATAGAAAACATGGAAAGAGAGCTAAGAAGGAGAGTAAGAGACAAAGTTAAATAGAATGAGAGGCAGAAAGAAAAAGAGAAAAAAGATCTCAAGAAGAAAGAATATTCTAAATTGATTGAAGGCAACGAGGTAGCCCAAGCTACAGCATAAAACAACTGGAGAAATAGAAAACAAAAAGACATATACCTATGTAACCCAAAGAGTGATAGATAAAGGTGGGAATACCTAATCCTTGTCAGGAAGAGGGCACTATAAGCAAAAGCAGGCATGGAAACAACACAAGTAAAACTCATTGAAAGATGTGGCAGGCTCAGATGAAGTAAGTGTTGATTTCTGGATCCGAGATAAGAAAGGAACCAATCACCTGGTTCACAATAATGGTATGATCAGTGATTTTTAGAGTATCTTCAGTTGCTATTACATTAGCAGGTGACTCCTGTTAAGGAATGTCAGGCCTTGAGAGATATCAGAAATATAATTACATGAACTTGCAATCTAAATGATTCACGAACAGACATTCTTTTTCAAGACTTTTATACTGAAGGTATGAATTTTCAAGCACTTTCAAACCCTATAAATCAGTCTGGCTTTTTTCCAAACTTTTTCAAACTTCCAAATTTGTGTAGTAATCCTAAGTTTAAATTCCAATATTTAAAAAAATCATTTCATTTTCTTGTTTTTTTAAATGAAGGTAAGCCTGAAATATCAGTGGTACATAGGCCTAGATGACTGGTCTCATGATGACGTGAAAAAGTACTCAACAAAACTCATATATTGGGTTAAAATGATGAGAAATAGTACTATAAAAAAACAAAAAACATAACATAATTGGTCTCATTTCCCAAATTGACAAATTTGATGAAAAGAAAAACACTGAACAAAAAATAATCTAAAACAAATTTCTAACTGGAATGTTGAAAGTTATTATTTTCCTACAATGAAAATATATTTCCGATGGGTAGTTACCTCGTCTCGCGTAATAGGTTTTCTTGTTCAGTGCTGCCCTCTATATGCAAAAAGTGTTCACATGCCACTAGCTTTGAAACTCCCACCAACCCCCACAATCAACTTGGTTCCCTGCATCTTTGCATGTAAATTATCATACAACAACCTTCTACCAATAGGAGTGTGGCGCTCTCCTGATGTAGGTTACTCCTTCTACTTAATTCCACCTAACTATCACTTTGAGAATAGGCAGAAAGTAAGCACTGGTAATTGGGACGAAAGGTGAGTAAAGGTAAGTACTTATCGGAAATATATTTTCAGTGTAGGAAAATAAGAACTTCCAATACGTGACCTTACTTCTTCTCACATAATAGCAAAAATCCCACATTGAAAAGTGGAGGGACCAGTGTGATGAATATAGATAAGCACCCTTCGAAAGCATCTGAAGAACACCCATAGAGTGCAAGACCCCGCTGGAAGAAGAACACGCTTGAGACACTGCACCACTTATGTATACTTATGTATACCAGTGTGGTAGTAAGTGTCACATAAATGAGTGGAAATTGTGAGGAGCATATCCAAAAAAATGAGAGAAAATATTTGGGGTGGTCCGACACCACATCTCACTGAAATCTCCGAAATCATAGTCTAGGAAACGAAGGAATGTAGGGTCCCCAGCCACAGATCAAATGGTGCGGAAAGCTAAAATGGATGTGCCCCTTGATGTAGAATGGCTAGGGAACAACAGACCATACTTGGAAGGTCAACTCAAGTCCAAAACCAGATGGCATTGGGTATACATCTTCTAATCCTTGGTAGGAGGGAGGTCCACACCATCTTCACCTTAAGTTGAATAAAATGGAAGGAAAAAATTCCTTACTGGTCATCTAATCAGGGAACATATGCACAAATTACAACTAACACCAGGCATATGGGAACCCAACATTGAAATGATGGGATGTATCATTGTGGCAGTTCACTTCCAATCAAAAAACATCGGCCTTTGGGAGAACCTCACAGAGCTGGATCACCAGAGGGACCAATATCATCCTCTGGATAGGGCCACACAGAAGCTGGAGCACATGGATAACTGGTCTATTCCCAGAGTAACCATGCCTGGGGCAAATTGAGCTAGATCTGTGTAATAACAACCTCCAGGACCCACTGCATAGAAGTAGAACAACTGAGTCACTAGGCAGTTGATAATATACCCCTGTATGACTTACGGTTGGCTGTATAATGCATAATTTTGTAATGTATAGATAAGCAGCATTCCACTAAGCAGGATCCATGACCTAAGAAGGACATGCCTCTGAAATAAAAGAGGGGGAAAAGCAACAAACTTTGTGAGTCACATTCAAATTGATTTTTGAAGTATGACGACAGATAGAAGACAGTACCTAGATGATGAAGAAACAGCCACCCAATGAAGAGAGTGGGAGATAAACATATGAAGGGTAGTCCACATGCCTGATCAAAGAACCTCTTCCATAGGACAACATAGAAAAGATGTCTGGAAAAAGGAGACAGGGAGTAATATGCCAGACTGATAAGCTGATGAAAGGGAAACTTCATTCACTGGATCAGGAATCACGGAAGGAAGCCGTGCTGGCAATATAACAACAAAGAACACAAACAGGATTTAGAAGTCTATCCAGATATGACCAGCAATAGAGGTGGGAAATGGAGGGAAGGGAAATCAGCAGAAACGAAGAACTGCCCTCGTGAGCCACCAAAGTTTTGGACAGGAATGATTGACCCTGAGAAAGGAGAACATGTGTGTAATGGAAAACAGTACATGAAACTTTTGATGGTAAAGATCTTAGACTGATGACGACCACAGGCGAGGAGGTGAAGGAAATAAGTCTGAAGGAATAGATGATACATGTAACAGGAGGCCAGAGGATCAAACAAACGGAGGAAATGGAGAATGATAGAGACATCCTAGTCTAGAAGGACCACTCAATGGGGAGGTCGACTAATTTGGAAGGAGTGCAATAACAGAAAAAATGGTAGGAGAAGAAAACACACAATGGTACCTGGAAAAATGGAAGATACTGGACAAGGCTGCACAATAACCCGCAATGAATGAAACAGAAACACCATAATCACACAGCCAGATGAGGAAATCTGCTAGAAGAGGAACAGCGGGCAGAGAAGGAGAAACCCTATGGCAGAAGACCTTCCACTTCCATTGATAAAGAGTGAGGGAAAAAGGACAAATAGAATGAGACAACAAAGGATGTTACACACATGGATAAACCAGATCTCCTCACAAGGGACCAGAGAAATGCCACATGAGATGTACTGTGTGAAAGGCAAGATGAAGGAGCAATGGTCTCAGAGGAAGAGGTAATACAGGAGTTGTTTGGAGTTGAAGAAACGGAAACCAGGGTTGGGGCAGCCAGAAAGGAGCAACCTAAAGGATCTGACATGGAGTGGATTGGATGATCAAAATCAACTTGAGAAGGAGTTGGATTGGGGGATAGGCATATAAGCACCAGTTGGTCTAATCTTAACTGAGAGCATCCATAGCCAAGGCTTGGGGATGAGGAACTAGAGACCAAAAGATAGTAACTTGGCATTGAAGCAAGTGGTAAGAGCATTCAGGTGAGGAAATTCTGAGGGTTGAGTGACCACTCCTTGGGGTAAACTTGAACAATCAGGAAAGACATTCTGCCACAAAGTTGAAGGTACTTGGAACATGACATACCAAAAGATGTATATGAAGTGTGTGGATGCAATAAATGAGTTATAGTGTCCAAGAACAAAGCAAACAAGAATGGATGCCCCTAGATGACTGATAAATGAGACAACATTGGAGTTGTCAGAATGGATCATAAACAATTTGTTCAGAACATAGGAAAGGAAAGATCCAAAACACAACATACTGTCATAAGTTCCAAGATGTTGATATGAAAAGAGTGTTTGTTTGGAGGCTACTGTCCTGAAGCCTTCCTGATCGTCAACCCACTCCCACAACCCCAGAGAGAAGAATTGATGAAAATGAACAAATCCAGATGAAGAGGAGGAAGTAGCACTTTCATCATAGTGTTGTCTCTGCCCAACTAACAATGGTGATCATCCAGGATGGAAGGTGGGAGGGTAATGAGGAGTTAACAGAAACCAATTGTCCATGGTGGTGGAAGCACAGACCGTGTGTGTGTGTGTGCAGAAGGGGGGCAAAACCTTAACCACCAGACAAAAGGCATAAGATACTGAGGCAAGCCCAATCTAGGTGACAAAAAGCCTGGAGAAGGACAATTAACAGGCTCTACTTCATGTTGTGATAGTAGAGACTCAACTGCCTTGGAAAGACACTGGCAAATGTGAGATCCCAAAGAAATGAGAAGGACACTAGATTGGGAGAATAGGGAGGCATGGAAAGAAAGAGGAGAAAAAGTCCTTCTGAGAATATCTGGATCACCCATGAGTAAGGAGTGAATTCCAGCAACAAGTGGATAAAACTAGACAAACAAGCTCCAAGTGGGCCAATACCCACAGGATAGTCACTGGAACTGTTAGCAGTGATAGGTATGAAAGTGAACAAAATGCCTCACCCAAGGATGTAAGGAGGAGGGACCAAGCAAAGATTGGAAGCTGGAATGGGAGCAGGTTGAGACAAACAAGCAACCAAAGAGTCTCATCTCAAAGACCCCATATGCGACTCCAAAGGGTCAGGGATATCTCTAAAAACAGATCCATGCAAAAAAAGGGGCTACTTGCAGGTTGGGTAAATATGTGAATGGCAGGTGCACCTGCAACAAGAGAATGTTCCAACCCAGGAAAACCCATCAGTAAAAAAGTCAGGTATGAAAGGATAGGGCAGAAGAGGACAATCATGTCCTTCAGAAATCCCTCAGAGGAACTGTGGATAGTCTCAGAAAAGAGAGAAGTAAGATTAAGACAAAAACAGGAAACTGGGCCTGGGAGAAGCACATAGAACTCAGTCCTACACACAGGCAGAAGAAACTCAAGCTGCTGAGAGTCCATAAAAGGAAAATCAGCTTAATGGTAGACAAGTCAGAATCATCTGAAGCCTGGGGGGGGTCTGGGCATGCAGGCCCTACCCTCAATTGAGACAGAAAATTATCAGCATGGACCCCGATATCTGGGGGAGGATAAACAAGGTACTCAGATGATGTGGCACCATGTAACAGTTAAAAGGTAGAACATAATTACTGGGAATACAGATAGAAGGTGAAATACCTGAAAAATCAATTCCAAGAAGGCTGATGGGGCCTGGCTGATTCCCCAGGAGAGGCATGGGCTTGTCAAAATCCTAGTCATCATGAACAGGTTCCACTGGCACCGTAAGCACCAGGTCAGGGTCGGGAGAAGAGGTTTAACCCATGTGAAGTTCAATCTACTGATGAACAAAAGCAAAGACCCTCATACATGAAGCCTGTGTCACAACATTTGAAGTAGTAGTTACAGTAGCAGAAGTTGCGACACAAAATTTGGAAGTCACATTTGACTGTGAACGAGTTGGGAATCCAAGAAATAAGGTTTGAAAAACAAAACAAGGTAACTGGATAATGAACTATAGTTACCAAAGAACTGTAGAAACTTGTAAGTATTACTTCATAAAAGAAAGAATCACATAAATTTGCACAAAATTATACTACGTCTGAACTCCCCAACTGCCTAACGAGGAGTGATGGTTAGGTGTAATTGAATAGAAAGAGAAATGTGCATCAGGAGGGTGTGTTGCACTGTTATTGACAAGTGGTTGTTGCATGATAATTCAAATGTAAAGATGCAGTGAACTAGTTTGAATGTGGGGTAGGTGGGCGTTCCAAGGCTATTGGCATGTGAACAAATTCTGCATATAGAAGGCAGCACTGAACAAGAATAGCCATTGTGTGAGAGGGGGGTTAGGTATCTTATCATAAATTTGTATCTTTCATTCTCATAATAAAAAAAAATGTCAAGGAATAAAAAAAAAAAAACAGCAATAAATCTTTAACAGGTGCAAAAAGCCTGTGATCATGGGGATTACGACTAAGCATGAAATATATGGTGTCCTCATATTGGTGTAGGGTTATATTCTAATGATGATTACACCATAGGCTGACATAGTACATACAGTGGTAGTAGTTTGTTTAAAGTTCTTGGCATGTGCAGAAAATTTTATGCCACTGTGTATGAGGTAATAGCTTGTAATGGTGACTTTTTTATTGCTAATCATGAAGCTACCCGAACGGGTTAACTTTTCTGTGTCCAACATGGGTATTAAAACCTAGTTTCTGGTGTTATAAGCCTTCAGACTTACCGCTAAGTCAATAAGGGTACTTTAGTGGTGCAGAGAGGTAACATTTCTGAAAACAAAAATTATTGCTGAAAACCGCTATTTAGACCTACTCTAAACTGATATACATAGACTAGAGTCTCTTTTATTAATAAACCAAGTGCCAGTGAAGGAAAATTATTTCAGAAACACCACATGGATCACTATATTTCAAAGGAATGACAATTTCTTCAAAATATGAACCTATATTTTGGGATGATATGAGAAATTTCAAAGAAATCAAAATATGCAGTAATGAAAGCTTGAACCTATCTTATTTTAGTTTTTGTGAAATATAGAAAATAAACGTTATATAATGTTAACTTATCAATTCTAAAATATTACTGAAATAAAATTATATTATTTTTTACTTTCAAATATGATATGCAAGTGCACTTGAAACCAGAAATGTCCACCAGACATAAAGGGTTAACTCCTACCTTTAAAAACATGACATTCACAAATATTTCATTTGGAGGGTCACTCCACCTAACAGTTGATAAAAGTAAATTAAGTCCCCATCGAATGGGTTTCCTAATCAGCAGATCTGCTCCCCGATTCAACCATGTTTTCCTCTGGTTTTCAAAAATGAAATTATCAAGTGACTGAATCTGTCCTTGTCTGAAAGATTACAAAGCAGACAGTGCAAAATGTCAATCCACACTTTGTTTCATCATTTAGTAAAAACAGGTTAAGAACTGAAATTCTTGGTTTTGTACAACTGACAAATATTCTATCTTTTAAGAAAAGGTAAGTTAAGTTTTAAGTATAAGTAAATACCCATGCATTAATGTATAAATATTGGATACTTCTTTTTCACAACAACAGCATCAGTTCATTTACAAAACATATCTTCTCTTGACTATAAATAATAAAGATAAGATTAATTAGTATAAAACCTGCTTTAATATACACTGACAAATATCCCATCTATCGACACCAGCTAATAGTATATTCCAAATGCAGAGAATTAAGTGTAAACACACGTAAGTTCCATACACAAAATCTTACAATTGAATTATATATTCTTTCCTCCTCTCACCATACAAAGTCATGAAACATTTATTTGCTTAGCAATTTCTAAACTCACTCACAACAGTGAACATGTGTACTTTAAGTTTTACCCATTTCATATTATACTCTAGTTAATATGACATTTATCAAAGGGCTCAAAACGTAATAGTAGAAATAGTTGAAAAACTGATTTTGACTGATTCCTAAGGCTAATGCTGAGGGGCCAAATGTTTTTTTGTCACACTGTTTTTTCTTGTGTTCTTTCTCAAAATTTTTGAGATATAAATGATTGTGTTATATAGATATTTATTGGAGAATAAATAGGTGAAATTGATAAGCATCCTGTCAGGATATATGATGAAGTACAGCTATTTAAATCACTAAAGTTACTAAATTGACACATAATGACTATGAATTATGCATTATTCATTCTCAAGCTCATCACACCAAAACAGCTTTATTGGAGAGACATCATCTCCTTGCACTTAGTTATTTTTTTCATCACCTTAGACATATTAGTTTGATAGACAGTTAAATTATATTTAGGTTTTATTTTTATGTTATAGTTAATTATGTATTACTTATGTTTTAAGATTCATATTTGAAAGGTTTAGTAATTTTTTTAGTATAACTCAAACTTTGCTTCGTTCTGCGAGGCTTATGTTAATAAGTGAGATGAAACAAATGTTGCCAGAGGCTAAAATATCTCCGAGAATAATACCATTGTATTGCCTGCCTACACTAGTTGATGTGTTTCATAATAATTTTTCACCAATAAAGAATAGGGAAGAAAAATATATAAAACATTAAAAATAAACTATAAGTGAAAATTTAAAGATGTGTATATAACCCAAAGAAAATATTCTACGATTATTTGATGAATGGTTAAAAGATATGCACATATTTCCATTTCTTATTTTAAACATTTCATTACACTATATATATATACATTGATGACAATAGCTACAGTTAGTGTTATGGTGGAGAAAATGAAGAGTTATCATTTTCCTAATCTGAAAATGTATTTCCATACATACTTATTTCTGCTGACACTTATAGTTATTTCTCGATCTTCTTCTTTGCCTTCTAACCATCGTGTTTGCTTGCTCCAATCTTTATGCCCCACTCGACTGCCTTTGGCAATATCTAATCTGCAAAACTTTACACCGGTCGTCACACACCCTCTATGCAGGTATGGATACATAAGAACTATATGTCAACAAGATAGTCACTTGTTTTTAGACTTACCCCATCCCGGTCACTAACACCGGCTCTTAGTGGGGAGGATGAAAGGGAGAATGTCAGCGAAGATAAGTATGTTTGGAAAAACTTTTTCAGATTTCGAAAATGATAACTTCCAAAACATACATACCTCTGCTTTCTGCTGAATGTTTGGATGTGGTGAAAGTAGCAAATGGTTTACAAGATCAATTTACATAAATCCGAGTAAGGAGGATTTTCATCACATTATACAAATCTTGGGTACGCCCTCATACATGTTCCCTAATTATCATAAATTCTAATATGCTTCAAGTAGATCAAAGTTCTGAATTATTCTACACATAGAGACTCAAAAATCTGAACTTATTTTCACTAGGTCATACAGAATTTAGGTGTTTAAAACCATTACAGCTTAGATAAACCACTCATGGGAAGTCTATTGGAATGGTGGAAGTTTGGAGATGAAATTTTAAGTATTAGGACAAGTAAGTTTGGATCATGGAAAACCCAGGTCCAGGCTGGTTATTTGAAAATGTTGGCTTGTTAAGAATTATTAAGTTATAGTATGAATAGCCAAATGAAGTGGTGTATGTTGGTAGTTTTAATTCATTAAAATGGGTTTGTTGGATAATTCTATGAAAATTAAATTTTATATATTTAGGTTAGACAGTTTTGTTTTGTTGTTGTTTGAAAAAATGGACTATCACCTCATCTTTTTTTGTTTTCACTATGAAAAGATAAGAAAATGTGAAAAATAAAAAAGTGAACAAACCTCTTCATTTCTTCTAATACTATGTCCAAACACTGGGGGATTTGACCATTTCTCTGGAATACCATATTTAATTTGTGCAGAGAGAATGTAGCACTTTTTGATAATTTATTCCATTTTAAAATTAGTGATGTCCAAAACATCATTTTGTCTGTCCATCCCTTGGGGTTGACTTCCTTATTTCTAAATGAAGAAAACAACAAGTTCATCCGCACGTCATCCTCCCAGCAAGATGGTAACAATTCCTCAATGTTGTAATTCTCTTGAGATGATTCCATGATACAGAAGTGTCTCAGAGTAAAAATGATTCCACTTGATGTGTCTAAGAACAAGGCAGACATAGTGATATTAATAAATGAAGATATATATAACCATGAAACTAATTTATAAGCATTTTGCACTTTTATTTTACGGTAGCACAAAATTCAGACTCTAGCTACTTTTATCAAATTGTTTTTTCACTTATAAAAATCAAGTATCACAAAATAACTGATAAAAGCAAAATTACAAAATGAAGTTTGATTATCTCCTAAGTCTAATTACATTTTTTGATCATTACAAGATACTAATTAGTTTACATCCTATGTGATGGTTGTTAAGCTACTGATGTCGTCAGAGAAAACATAATGTATGGCTGTATGTGGGGTTAAAGCCTCGGGTTCGATTACACACTCCTTATTAAAAAAAGCAACTGATCTATCCACTAAAGTGATAGTTGACATAATTACATTTAATATTTTGCAACATGTTGAAATATAAAAATAATCAGTTCTCATTTTCAGAAGGGTGTCAGACAAAACCTATTTTTAGTGACTCGTGATAATTAAAGGTAACATTACACAGTTTCAGGAACTTTTAAAAATAAATTACTTGTAGTTCAAGATAGGCATGTTCCTGAAAAGAGGAAAAGAATAACAAGGGGCATGTCAAAACTAATTACCTTACAAAAACCATAAAGGAAAATTCAAGGGTAAATACTCTAAGTTCAATATATAAATTACCAGGCAAGAAAGGTTTATAGAATTCTAAGGGTTTGGTCAAAAAATAAATTAGGAAATTAAACAGTGCATATGAGAAACATAATGATAATGTTAAAACAGCAAAAATTATTTTAAGTATGTTACAGGTACACAAATGTTAAAAATACTGATGTCAAGGTATTTTGTTCATGTGATGGCTGAGCTGTTAGATATTTTCTTCTGCTTCACAAAAGATGTTAGCAATAATCCAAACCCCGAGTAGTCTAAGGGAAATACAGGAATTAACCTGAATCACATAGATATTAATCCTCTGATAGTAAGTAACATAACTTTTTTCATGAGGTTTTAAAGGAAGTCAAAATTAAAATATGTGAGCCTGTCTTTCTTTCATTTCTAATAGGTCAATAGGTGCCTGATCATTGGCAAGTTGCTAATGTTACTTTTATTCTTAAAAGGGGTGATAACAGTTGCTCAAGAAATTATAAGCTACTGTGTCTAAGTCCTGCAGTGGAAAACATTACAGAGACTGATGAAAAAAGTTTACAAAATAATTTACTGAAACATGATATCATAAAAGAAAGCCAACATGGATTCACCAAACAGAAATCTTGTCTTATTAATATGTTAACTATTCTCGAGTATGCTACAAGTTTGTTATCAGGATGATGAAAACAGTGCAGACTTATGAACTCAGATTGTATTTTTTAAATGTTTTTGATGAAATACGACACAAAAAATTGGCTAAGAAATCACACCCATGTTTTATATTTCTAGTAGGATAACTGGCTTATAAAATGAGTTACCACTGGTCAGTAACGTTTACTTTTCCAAGGATGAATAAATGTGATAGGATGCCACTGAAAGGCTTGTTTGTATGTTATGTTACATTAAGTTACCCTTGATTGACCATCTTCAACTTCACAAAGTTTAAAGCTTGGTGATTTATTTTTTTCCATCAATTATTACTGTAATATCATCTCTGTCTGCTTGTAGAACTGTTATCCTGAATACAATTCTTTTTTCTTATAGAGCAAATAATCTAAGGTTTATGTTTCATGGCTTTCTGACTGATGACTTTATGTTTAACATGAAACTTTTTTTTTTCAGCTGGGGGGGGGGGGGGGAGGGGGGTTTTTAAATTTTGGGTTTTGTTTTTTTTTTTTTTTTTTT